GGGATTTACTGAACTGAGTGATTGTGATCAGTTTTAGTGTACGACTTCAACACGATGTTCATTTTAACATCAACACATCATGTCAAAGTGTAACCAGTACTTAACTGAAGTATGCAGTACTCTGAACTTTATGGTTTTATGCAGTAGCAGTGTACACCAGGAGCAGCCACACTGTTTTCAGGTTCTGAACAAATCTACTTGTGACCTGCCTGCCACAATTAAAAATAGCAAGTGGCGATCCACTTCATCTGTCCATCCATTATCAGCTGCTTATGCAGGGTTGCATCTCAGGGGGCAGGTGGTTGAGACAGGGGGCCTCTCTCCCCAGGCAACGGCACTTTCCTTCACTTAAAATGCTGGTAAACAATCTCTTAAACACGTACTTAAGACTCCAGGGGGTTTTGAGGATGACAGTTTCTCAAATGTGTGCAAACTTCTAATGATTAGTCAACTAAGCTCTTGACCACTAATTCAGTCTTTTATTGAACTGAATGTTTTTACAGCTTTATTGTGCACTAAAGGATAAGCTGCACTGAAACAAACTGAATAAACCCCAAGCATATGGATGTAAAACTGATCAAAATTATGATTTGCCATTTGAAGAACTGACAGGGGAGCCATGTCCCTGAAAGCCTATTGAGAAGTTGACTGTTTAATGGAGGCCCATCTCTGCCGAAACACTCTTCCTGTTATCAGTCTACTGAATGAGACATGACATTATATAAAGTAACACCCACTGTGAAGACGTCCTGATCACAACAGGAGAAAAACGTACATGTGTCTGTGCGTCTCCATTCATTCTCGGCTGCAAACAAAGCGAGCGGCGCGCTGACAGGCCGGGCTCCGCAGCACATGCCCCTCTGACACCTGTATTCCTCTCCCACTTGTCTGCTTCTCCCCCCGCCATCACATCAAGGAGCTTATTGGCCCCAACATGGCCCTCACAGGACCTTTGCCAATGCCAGCTCCAGTTTCACTCCGCTCTCAGCTGCCCAAACGCCTGGTTTGAATTTCCTCAAGGCATCTTGGTTTTGCAGCATGTTGTGTCTCATATTTTGTTGGCTCGCTTCTCTTTTATCGCTCATGAATATCACCTGTGATCTTGTAGCCTGACTGCTCGTTTTAGAGCACTTACATCTACACTGTAGTGTAGCTTCAGTCACAAACTCCACAAGTTAACAAACTGACTGTGCCACATCTTTAGGGAAGAAACTGCCACATGCCTAAATCAACAGACACGCATGTGCTTCCCACAGATAATCAATAGTCCTCCATC